CAATTTGAATGGAATGTCATGCCTTTTAGTTTAAAAAATACTCCATCTGAATTTCAAAAGATAATGAATGATGTATTCAATCCTTATCAAAAATTTATGATAGTCTACATTGATGGTGTCTTAATATTCTCTGATTATATTGATCAACATTTTAAACATCTTAACACTTTTATCAATACAATGAAACATGCTAGGTTAGTTGTTTTTGCAAAAAAAAATTAATTTATTTCAAACCAAAATAAGTATTTTAGGACATAATATTAACTAAGGCACTATCATTCCCATTGATCGATCTACTCTATTTGCTGATAAATTCCTTGATAAAATCCTAGATAAAACCGAACTTCAATGATTTCTAGGATGTTTAAATTATATTAGTGATTTCTATAAAAATCTTGCTCTTGATACTAAACCTTTATATGATCGACTAAAAAAGAATCCTCCACCTTGGACGGATCTTCATACTAATACAATTTGACGACTCAAACTAAAAGCTAAAGAATTACCTTGTTTAACTTTACTTAATCCTACTCAAAATAATTGAATGTGATGCTTCTGAATTCGATTTAGAAGGAATATTAAAACAACAAATTGATTCTCAAGAACAACTCATTCGCTTTACTTCTAAAGCCTGGAATCCTCTACTCAAAAGAATTATTCCACTGTCAAAAAAGAATTATTAGTCATTATACATTGTGTAACTAAATTTCAAAGTGATATTCTTAACCAACACTTTTTAATACGCACTGATTGCAAAGCTGCAAAAGATATTCTGCAAAAAGATGTTCATAATATTGTTTCCAAACAAATTTTGGCTCGCTGGTAAGCCATTTTATCTGCTTTTGACTTTTCCATTGAACATCTTCACGGTACCTCTAACTCTTTGCTTGATTTTTTTACCCGTGAATTTTTGCAGGGGGGCCGTACCTTACCACCTCTTCCACCTGAAGAACCACTCCCTTACGGTTTGCAACTTTTTCATAGGAATAAGAATATGCATACAAATACATCTCAAAACTCTAAACAAAAAACCTCTATGGACTTAGTTCATTTGCATCCATCAGAGCTCCCTGTGCTCAGCCCACCTTTTTTACCATTACAGCCCATGTCTCCACTACGATCTACCAATGTCCCAGAACATTATATTCAAAGTCCAAAGCATAATACACCAAGTCCTGCTTTTTCTCCAGCCCAAATCCTATATAAATCACCCTCTTCTTCAAGATCAATGTATATTGATAATGCTTTTATTGCAGACATAGTCCTTGATGATAAACATGTCCAAATCAACCCAAATAAATTAGCTCCCCTATATCTTCAAAACCATTTAAGCCCTTTTAATGGTATCAAGACTAGAGAATGGTATGAGTCTGTTTTAATGGAAACCGGATCAGTTTCAATTGTCCACTTTTTCCAAGGCAACACCAATTTATATGCTTATTCAAAGCTACAAATAAAAAAGTTGTTGACATATGAAGATTGGCGTAATAACCCCACTCAGCGAAAAAAATTATGAAATACAGAATACTAATACAAATACTACAGATATGCTGAATATCTTGAAGCTTGGCATAAAATATTCTTTTACCAAAATCCAAATAATTCTCACTCTTGGTATATCTAGTTTAAAATGCCTATAATTGAAAGATTTCCCAGTTGGTTCCGTCATCGGTTCTTTATTTGGGGATCCTCCACCCAAATACTACTTGATTCCTTCCAAGCTTTCCAACAAAAATTCTGTGAATATAATACTTGTACAGACCAAATAGACTACCATAGGTACTTCATGGCCATTTATCAGATCCCATGGATTGTAAAAAGGGAGTATGCTATTAATAAAAATACTTCGAATACTTATGAATACAATCCCCGTTTGGGGAAAAATATAAAAATTAAATGGTGGGATATATATATCACTGACCCACAATCCTTTTCACTCAAGAGGATTCCTCCTTCCTCGGAGTTATGTCGTAATACTACTGAGAATAATATTGTTACTCTTAATATATTTTCTTCTTATATGAAAAAGATAAAACAAGCTCATCCCCATGCTACACTAGAAGAAATAGAAAAACAACTTTTAGCAATATTTACTGACCCTTCGACATTACCTACAACATCAGAAGAAACTGTTCAATCTGGTAATCCTCTCCTCAAAGAATTTAGCCAAAGGCCAGAAAATTGACAACCCGGCCCATTGGAAAATCTCATCCTTATCATTTATTATGATATGACTCAAAGTAGATTCTTTATCTATGCTTTATTCCGATATGACCCAAAGTAGATTCCTTTTGTTTGACGAGACCCCAACTACAGTGAATATTATTCCCTTGCATAATGCACCATTGGCACGTGTTTGATGAGACCCCAACTACAGTAAAACATTATTCCCTTGCACAGTATACTATTGCTCCTCTCGCACCATCAACTGCCACGTCGCCTAATCGCCATGCTTCATAAACCGACAAGTCGCCTCCTTCAATTATCACCATATCCAGCCGTATGATTCATCTATCTTAGCCAAATCCCTTGAGATAAGGATAAGCAACAACAGCATGCCAACAGCCGTCCATTTGGCAACCATCTATACAAACCTGCGCCTATAAATACATCTTCTCTAGAGAGACAACACAAGTCGAATTTTAAGGAAGCCATACGAGAAGACCTTCTTCATCACTCATCTTTGAGTCACCCCTCTCTTATTCCTCTTTGCAATTTTCTTTACTACTGTAAATTCTCATACAGTAGAAAGTTTTCATAACAGTCCTGTATAATCGAATCCAGTTGGTAACCTCTATTACTCTGTAGTTTTAAATGTGTGATTGTAATATCTCTTCTCTTCCCTCTTACTGTCCTTACGAATGGAGTTTCTTCTCTAGTTATTATATTTGTAAACAGTGAGTTTTTATTATGATCTATGAGATTTTATATCTGTCTATTATGATATATGAATTTTAGAATCTATCTGATCTATGAGTGTTTTATATCTGTCTATCTATTATTAATGCAATTTAAATTATTATTCAGTATTAAAATCAGAAATTCAATCCATACTTCTTGGATTATCTTAGATATATCTGTAATCTCTGTTGTCTTCTTAATATTCTTATTCTTTTATTATATAGGAATTTTACGACAATTAATGAACTATAATTATGCTTTGTTCATGTTTTTAAGATAAATTAGGATAAATTAATTATGGCAGATCTTGTGTTTATGATATCAGAGCCAACCCAGTTCACACTATCTTAGTATAAAATCACTAGTTTTAAGAACAACTTCATTTTAGGAAATCTAAGAAAATTATCCATTAAAGAAAGTTGGTCCGAGAGTTCAGGTTACAAACGCTCAGACACCTAGTCTAAAGACTATTAAGGCCAAGAGAGCCGCTGAGGTCCAAACAGACATAAGAGGTAGTCAAGGAGGACTGTCCAGATAACACTCATCTGCAACCTAATAATAGAAAATTTTATTAGAAATCTTACTGATAAAGACAAACTAGTTATACTCTAAGAATTAAGAATAAAGAAGAAGTGGTTATAAATGATATTGAAAACCAAATACAAAATTAGAATATACCAAAAGTACCTATTTCTAATGTATACAGAAAAGGAACACTCGATTTAAAAATAGGTTATGCTATAAAAACTGTAGAACAGACCTTGTCTGTGACTAGTAATCAAGAAGACTTCATACTTCTATCAAATAAAATATTACAAGTACATAAAAATAAAAATTATAAATATCTACATATTGGATTAATACAAATAGCAATTAAACCATTAACAAGGTTAGGACTTAATAATTCTGTTCTTGTATGCCTAAGAGATGCAAGACATAATAGGTTTTCTTATTCATTACTTTGAATGGTGGAATCCAGTCTTTGTAGTAGACCAATATATTTTAATTGTATCCCTAATTATTATGTGTCTTTAACAGATCCTAATATATTAAATGTTTTACCCTTAAATCTTAAAACACAAGGATTTGATATGATGCAAGGATCCCAAAATATTGCAATAGTTTATTGTATTTATTATAAAGTTATGACCACCCTATGTCCTAATGTTCTTCAAATAGATACAAGAGGTCAAACTATATTATTCCATACTAATATAGAAAAATCCAACACTATAGTTTCAAAAACAATATCTTGGTCTGACATAAGATTACCAGAATCATGGCTAATACACAATGATAACCAATCATCAATAATTCCAGTTTGAAACATTCCTGATAGCATTGTTGAACATATTAATGGAAATATCGAAATACAATTTCAAAATCACCTAAGTCGTTCAAGATATGATAATCCAATAAATGAATTTTTAAACTTAGAACCATCTAGAAAATCTGCCACAACATATGACAGACCACAAAGACCTGCATCCAGACCTGTATCTAGAAACAGCCAACATCTAGAACCTCAAATTCAAGGACTATTAAGAACATCTGAAAACATAATTATTCATCAATATAAACCAGCCTAGGATGAGCCTGATAAATCAGAATTTCAAATATTAACCCTTACAAAAGAAAGAAAACTAGATAAAAGTTATATTACCAATGACTATTTATCTGAGAAAAATGCAAGTATACGTAAATGGTATCTAAATACATTCGAACCTAGATTAATAGAATTATTCCATAAAAAGTTTAATCAATTTATTAAAAAGGAGAAAACAACAATATGTTTCTTTGATTGGTTAAGAAATATATGTAGCGATAAAAACATTGAAATACCTGACTTTGAAGTCAATACTCTTGAATCTCAATTCACAAAATTCAATACTACTAGTGGCAAAGAAATCACTTGTATACACCCTCCAGAACAAAGTCTAACCATTAAAGGAGTTAGTAAACAACCCCCCGAAAAAGATACAGAGGAATCAAGTACTTCTACTCAAATAGTTGTAAAACAACCCCATATAAATTAACTACTTCAGATGTCACAAGATTTGACTTACTTCCTTATATAGTTGAACAAAATAATTATACGAATCTTTACCTACAAACAACAAGTAAACAAACAGTACGAATTGAAAATCTTTTATCTTCAGCTCCATCCATTCCTGTACCAAAACAATTACTATTTAAACCTCCTCCTGAGCTAATAAAGAAAAATTTTTTATTGGAGATGATAATAAAACATTGCTGGATCAATTAATATCAAAATTATCTAAACTTGATATTATAAATAAAGCCAAAGAAAAGGTTCTTGAACATGAAATCTTAATCCTTCAGGAAGAATTTGATGAATCTATGGATGATACAATTGAAAATAGAGAGCAAGCATTTAATCAGTCTATGACATCTAGTCCACATATAGATGAAATTCAAAGAATTGCATATTCCAAAACTTGGAAAGCTGCAACAGCCTTACCATATCATAGAAGACCAACACCTATTGATATCCAATTTGAAGAGGTTTTCATATCCAATACTTCTTCTTATTAACATTAGTAAACTGGAATATAGATGGAATATCTGAATATCAAATCTTAGATACCATGAGACATATGACTATGTATAAATCTGCATGCAAAATGTAGGAACCCATGATCAGGAAATAGCAAAAGCTATAATCTGTGGTTTTACAGGATGGTTATGTGGATGGTGGGATTTCCATTTCCCAGAATCTATTAAAAAACAAATATTAAATAAAAAAAACAATGAACCGTAAAAAATGAACAAAACCAAGATGTCCTTTATACATAAAGTGATATAGTCAATACACTAAAATTGGCCATTATAAAAGCCAATATAAAGTCAAAAAGAAAATCGAAACTCTTATATTAGATGAATCCATAAGAAATAATCTATTTGACCTAGTACAAATATATAACTCCGTTTGATACGGATTCTCAATGCAGTAGCGATATGTCATTACTAGGAAATATACAAGATGAAAATCTTATTTGGTCAGATAAATCAGATGACCTGATAATTATTTTGTAATTCTAAAATTTGTATCCTAATTTTTAATTGAGATACTTCAATTTTAATATTATTCACCTCTGTTTTGAGTTCAGCAATAGTGAGTTCTTTATAAATAGCTTCATGCTGACTGATTCTTTTCATTATAGTAGAGAAGTTATATCCATCTAGAGGTTTGATCAATGTAGCTGGTTTAGGTTTTTCTTTAGTTAAATTAATAAATTGTGTGATAACCTGCCTTTTGTCATAGGGATTAGATATTTTCTCTATCAGATCTTGAATAAAATTATCTTCTTTTGTCAAGGTATGAAGATAATATTGAATTTGATAATTTAGTCCATACTTATAATCTTAAAAATAAACCTGAAACTTCAGGAGTCAAAATAAAGGAAGACGATACTACATCCTTAAATTTAATAAATAAAGTAATTACTCAAAAATGGTTTGTATTAGTCAAAATCGTAGTCAATAATGAGTATGACTTCCAATCTTTAACCTTAATAGACTCTGGAACATATTTAAACTGTCTAAATACTTTGATAAAACGATTCAACTATTAAACATTGTTGATGGTAGTAGATTATATATTAAATATCAAATAGTATGATCTGCATTAACGGACATTGTTTTCCAACTCCTTTTATCATGGTTAAAGGATTAAGTCAAGCGGTTATCCTTGGTGTACCCTTTCTGACTTTACTTTAACCCATGGCAATTACTCATACACGAATAGAAACACAAATAAACAATACTACAATCCAATTTGAATTCTTAGATAAACCTAAAATCAAATAAATCAGTACTATCAAAACAATTATTAAACAAAAGGAGCATTTTTTATGCTCTTTAAAAACAGAAATCAAACATAAAATAATATGTGAAAAATTACAAACCTCTGAATTAATATAAAAAATACAGTCCCTTAAGACATTAATTGAAAAAGAAATATGTAATGATTTACCTAATGCATTCTGGAATAGGAAACAACATATTATTAGTCTACCTTATGAGCTTGATTTTGATGAAAAGAAAATACCAACAAAGGCTAGACCAATTCAAATGAACAGTGAATTACAACAAACGTGAAAAACTAAAATAAAGGACCTAATCCAATAACACCTAATAAGACCTAGTCAATCCCCTTGGATTTGCTCAGCGTTTTATGTAAATAAAAACGCTGAAAAAGAAAGCGGAGTTCCTCGCCTAGTTATAAATTATAAACCGCTTAATACAGTTTTACAATGGATTAGATATCCAATTATGAATAAAAAAGATTTATTAGACAGACTTGTCAATGCAGTTATCTTTTCTAAATTTGATATGAAATCAGGATTTTGGCAAATACAAATTAAAGAAGAAGATAAATATATAACAGCATTCAATGTACCATTTGGCCAATTTAAATGGAATGTCTTGCCTTTTGGTCTCGAAAATGCTCCATCTGAATTTCAATAGATATAGAATAATGTATTCAATCCTTATCACAAATTTATGATAGTTTACATTGATGATGTCTTAATATTCTCTGATTCTATTGATCAACATTTTAAACATCTTAACACTTTTATCAACACAGTGAAACATGCTGGGTTAGTTGTTTCTGCAAAAAAAAATTAATTTATTTCAAACGAAGAAAAGATTTTTAGAACATAATATTAACCAAGGCACTATCATTCCCATTGATCGATCTATTCTATTTGCTAATAAATTCCTTGATAAAATCCTAGATAAAACCGAACTTCAACGATTTCTAGAATGTTTAAATTATATTAGTGATTTCTATAAAAATCTTGCTCCTGATGCTAAACCTTTATATGATCGACTCAAAAAGAATCCTCCACCTTGGACGGATCTTCATGCTAATACAGTTCGACGACTCAAACTAAAAGCTAAAGAATTACCTTGTTTAACTTTACCTAATCCTACTGCGTTCAAAATAATTGAATGTGATGCCTCTGAACTCCGTTTAGGAGGAATATTAAAACAACAAATTGATTCTCAATAACATTTCATTCGCTTTACTTGCAAAGCCTAGAATCCTACTCAAAAGAATTATTCAACTGTCAAAAAAGAATTATTGGCCATTATACATTGTGTAACTAAATTTTAAAGTGATATTCTTAACCAACACTTTTTAATACGCACTGATTGCAAAGCTGCAAAAGATATTCTGCAAAAAGATGTTCATAATCTTGTTTCCAAACAAATTTTTGCTCGTTGGCAAGCCATTTTATCTGGTTTTGACTTTTCCAATGAACATCTTCACGGTACCTCTAACTCTTTGCCTGATTTTCTTACCCGTGAATTTTTGCAGGGGGCGTACCTTACCACCTCTTCCACCTGAAGAACCACTCCCTTACGGTTTGCAACTTTTTCATAGGAATAAGAATATGCATACAAATACATCTCAAAACTCTAAATAAAAAACCCCTATGGGCTTAGTTCCTTTGCATCTATCTGAGCTCCCTGTGCTCAGCCCACCTTTTTACCATTACAGCCCATGTCTCCACTACGATCTACCAATGTCCCAGAACACTATATTCAAAGTCCAAAGTATAATACACCAAGTCCTGCTTTTTCTCCAGCCCAAATCCCATATAAATCACCCTCTTCTTCCAGACCAGTGTATATTGATAATGCTTTTGTTACAGACATACTCCTTGATGATAAATATGTCCAAATCAACCCAAATAAATTAGCTCCCCTATATCTTCAAGACCATTTAAGCCTTCTTAATGGTATCAAGACTAGAGAATGGTATGAGTCTTTTTTAATGGAAACCGGATCAGTTTCAATTGTCCACTTTTTCCAAGGCAACACCAATTTTTATGCTTATTTAAAGCTACAAATAAAACAGTTGTTGACATATGAAGATTGGGGTAATAACCCACTCAGGGAAAAAAATTATTAAATACAGAATACCAATACAAATACTACAGATATGCTGAATATCTTGAAGCTTAGCATAAAATATTATTTTACCACAATCCAAATAATTCTCACTCTTGGTATATCCAGTTTAAAATGCCTATAATTGAAAGATTTCCAAGTTGGTTCCGTCATTGCTTCTTTATTTGGGGATATTCCACCCAAATACTACCTGATTCCTTCCAAGCTTTCCAACAAAAATTCTGTGAATATAATACTTGTTCATACCAAATAGACTACCATCTGTACTTCATAGCCATTTATCAGATGCCATGGATTGTAAAATAGGAGTATGCCATTAATGAAAATACTTCGAATACTTATGAATACATTCCCCGTTTGGGGAAAAATATAAAAATTAAATGGTGGGATATATATAGCACTGACCCATAATCCTTTTCACTCAAGAGGATTCCTCCTTCCTCGGAGTTCTGTCATAATACTACTGAGAATAATACTGTTACTCTTAATACAGTTTCTTCTTATATGAAAAAGATAAAACAAGCTCATCCCCATGCTACACTAGAAGAAATAGAAAAACAACTTTTTGCAATATTTGTTGACCATTCGACATTACCTACAACATCAGAAGAAACTATTCAACATGGTAATCCTCTCCTCGAAGAATTTAGCCAAAGGCCCGAAAACTAACAACCTGGCCCATTGGAAAATCTCATCCTTATCATTTATTATGATATGACTCAAAGTAGATTCCTTATCTTTACTTTGATCCGATATGACCCAAAGTAGATTCCTTTTGTTTGACGAGACCCCAACTACAGTGAATATTATTCCCTTGCATAATGCACCATTGCCACGTGTTTGATGAGACCCCAACTACAGTAAAACATTATTCCCTTGCACAGTATACTATTGCTCCTCTCGCACCATCAACTGCCACGTCCCCTAATCGCCATGCTTCATCAACCGACAAGTCGCCTCCATCAATTATCGCCTTATCCAGCTGTATGATTCATCTATCTTAGCCTGATCCCTTGAGATAAGGATAAGCAACGACAGCATGCCAATAGCCGTCCATTTGGCAATCATCTATAAAAACCTGCGCCTATAAATACATCTTCTCCAGAGACACAACACAAGTCGAATTTCAAGGAAGCCATACGGGAAGACCTTCTTCATCACTCCTCTCTGAGTCACCCCTCTCTTATTCCTCTTTGCAATTCTCTTTCTTTACTGCTGTAAATTCTCATACAGTAGATAGTTTTCATAACAGTCCTGTATAATCCAATCAAAGTTGGTAACCTCTATTACTCTGTAGTTTTAAATGTGTGATTGTAATATCTCTTCTCTTCCCTCTTACTGTCCTTACGAATGGGGTTTCTTCTCCAGTTATTGTATTTGTAAACAGTGAGTTTTTATTATGATCTATGAGATTTTATATCTGTCTATTATGATCTATGAGTTTTAGAATCTATCTGATCTGCGAGTGTTTTATATCTGTCTATCTATCATTAATGCAATTTAAATTATTATTCAGTATTAGAATCAGAAATTCAATCCATACTTCTTGGATTATCTTAGATATATCTGTAATCTCTGTTGTCTTCTTAATATTCTTATTCTTTTATTATATAGGAATTTTACGACAATTAATGAACTATAATTACGCTTTGTTCATGTTTTTAAGATATTCTAAATATACGTTAGGAGAACTATCTGCTGAAATATGTGCTGAAGGATTAGCATTATGCACAGATATGAAATTAAAGAAACAACTTGATATACAAAAAATGACTGGTAGAAAAGACTTAGGAGATTTTTGTGAACAATTTGGCTACCATATAGAAAAAGATAAAATTCATAAATCTCATAAAAAAATACATAGATCCAACCAAAAAGAAAAATATCATTCTAAGAAATATAAACATAGAGAGAAAAGAGATAAATTTATCAAACGATTTGCTCCTAAATATTCTGCCTTCAAGAAAAAGGGCAAAAGAAAATTACTTGTCTGTTATAAATGTGGTAAAACTGGCCATTATAAAAGCCAATGTAAAGTCAAAAAGAAAATCGAAACTCTTATATTAGATGAATCCTTAAGAAATAATATATTTGACCTCGTACAAATATATAATTCCTCAACTAGTTCTGATACGGATTCTCAATGCAGTAGCGATATGTCATTATTAGGAAATATATAAGATGAAAATCTTACTTGGTCAGATACATCTGATGAATCTGATATTGATCTATGCGAATAATGCTCTGGTAAACCTCCAACTTGTTTTGGTAAAATTCCAACTCATAATCTTCATACCCTGACAAAAGAAGATAATTTTATTCTAAATCTGATAGAGAAAATATCTAATCCTGATGACAAAAGGCAGGTTATCACATAATTTATTAATTTAAGTAAAGAAAAAAACCTAATCCAGCAACATTGATCAAACCTCCAGATGAATATAACTTCACTACTATAATGAAAAGAATCAGTCAGCATGAAGTTATTCATAAAGAACCCACTATTGTTGAACTCAAAACAGAGGTGAATAATATTACAATTGAAGTATCTCAATTAAAAAATAGGATACAAATTTTAGAATTACAAAATAACATTTCAGATGCAGTAACTGAAAATGATGATATTGAATTTGATAATTTAGTCCATACTTATAATCTTAAAAATAAACCTGAAACTTCAAGAGTCAAAATAAAGGAAGATGATACTACATCCTTAAATTTAATTTACAGGCTCATAGGGTAAACTAATAATATGTTGTTTCCTATTCCAGAATGCATTAGGTAAATCATTACATATTTCTTTTTCAATTAATGTTTTAAGGGATTGTATTTTCTGCATTAATTCAGAATTTTGTAATTTTTCACATATTATTTTATGTTTGATTTCTATCTGTAAAGAATATAGAAAATGTTCCTTTTGCTTAATAATTGTTTTGACAGTATTGATTTCTTTGATTTTAGGTTTATCTAAGAATTCAAATTTGATTGCAGTACCGTGTATTTTTGTTTCTATTCCTGTATGAGTAATTGTCATGGGATAAAGTAAAGTCAGAAAAGGTACACCAAGGATAACAGCTTGACTTAATCCTTTAACCATGATAAAGGGGTTGGAAAACAATGCCCATTATTGCAGATCATAGTATTTGATAATTTATATTTAATATATAACCTACTTCCATCAGCAGTGTTTAAAATTTGAGTTGTCTTATAAAACTATTTAGTAGGTACCAATCCTTCATTGAGACAGCTTAAATCTGCTTCAAAGTCTATTAAGGCTAAAGATTGGAAGTCATACTCATTATTTACTACGATTTTGACTAATACAAACCATTTTTTAGTAATTACTTTATTAAGTAAATTTAAAGATGTAGTATCGTCTTCTTTTATTTTGATTCCTAAAGATTCAGATTTATTTCTAAGATTATAAGTATGGACTAAATTATCAAATTAAATATCATCATTTTCAATTGCTGTTTCTGAAACATTATTTTGTAATTCTAGAATTTGTATTCTATTTTTTAACTGGGATACTTGAATTTTAATATTATTCTCTTTTGTCTTGAGTTCAGCAATAGTGGGTTCTTTATGAATAGCTTCATGTTGACTGATGTTTTTCATTATAGTAGAGAAGTTGTATTCATCTGGAGGTTTGATCAACGTAATTGGTTTAGGTTTTTCTTTAGTTAAATTAATAAATTGTGTGATAACCTGTCTTTTGTCATCTGGATCAGATATTTTTATGATCAAATCTAGAATAAAATTATCTTCTTTTGTCAGAGTATGAAGATTATGAGTTGGAATTTTACCATAACAAGTTGGAGTTTTGCGAAAGCATTGTTTGTATAGATCATTATCAGATTCATCTGATGTATCTGACCAAATAAGATTTTCATCTTGTATATTTCCAGTAATGACATATCGCTATTGGATTGAGAATTTGTATCAGAACTAGTAGAGGAATTATATATTTGTACGATGTCAAATAGATTATTTCTTAAGGATTCATCTAATATAAGAGCTTCGATTTTCTTTTTGACCTTACATTGACTTTTATAATGGCCAATTTTACCACATTTATAACAGACATGTAATTTTCTTTTGCCCTTTTTCTTAAAGGCAGAATATTTGGGAGCAAATCGTTTGACAAATTTATCACTTTTCTCTCTGTGTTTATATTTCTTAGAATGATATTTTTCTTTTTGGTTAGATCTATATATTTTTTTATGAGATTTATGAATTTTATCTTTTTCTTTATGGTAATCAAATTGTTCACAAAAATCACCTAATTCTTTTCTACCAGTCATTTTTTGTTTATCAAGTTGTTTCTTTAATTTCATATCAGAGCATATTGCTAATCCTTCAGCACATATTTCAGCAGATAATTCTCCTAACGTATATTTAAAATAATTTATTATACCACCATTTTTATTTTTAAGACGTTCTTTTACTTTTTCAACGAATAAATAAGGTAATCCAGCTATGAATTTTTCTTTCCAGTGTTCAAGCTGGCTATCTTCCCTTAATAATAAACGAGAAAAAAATACATCTTTATACCATTTGTAATGGGATAGAGTCGGCCATCTTAAATTAGATAAAAGATCTTCGGATCTAGATGCTAAGACAGCGGTATTTCCTATAAAATGAAGAGTAATAGTATAAATTAGTGTATTGACTGCATCACTTTCGGTATAAACGACATCTTGGTTTTGTTCATTTTTTACAGTCCAATGTCTTGTATTATTTAATATTTTTTTCTTAATAGATTTTGGGAGATGGAAATCCCCCATCCACGTAACCATCATGTAAAACCACAGATTATGGCTTTTGCTATTTCTTGATCATGGGTTCCTACCATTTTGCATGCAGAAGCATAT